CCATCGACAGAAAGGATTTGGCGGTCATTACGCCCCGACTCACCGAGTCCGTCCTTAACCATTACTATACAGTCGATTTAAATGGGTCTTAACACATCAAAACCATAGATCTAGCCTCCTAATGTCTATTTTACACGTAAAGCCTCCAACTTGGTGCACATGCATGGGATCTTTGGCTCAAAAAGCCATAAAAGATGGTCTACAAGGTGCATGGGGGTGTTTATGGCAATAAAGTTGGCATCTTTATGCCATAAAGACCCCCAATGGCCCCAGATCTGAAATCATAACCCCATATCACACTTCATAACCCGAAAATGGCTTAGAAGCCCTAAATATACCAAGATCCACACCCTAAAGATGATTATTTACATGGAAGATCAAGATAGGAGCTTTTTACCTTAAATAAGTTGGAAATGGAACAAAATCTCTGGATCTCCAAGCTCCAACTTGAACTCCCAAGCTCCTTTCCTCTTCTCAAGCTTCACAATTCACCAAAATGCACAAAATGGCCTTAGAACACTCAAACAAGGCTAGGGTTTCAAGGTAATGCCTTCTGGGAGTATAAGGGACGATGGAGGCTGAGATGGGGGGATATAAGTTGTTTAAATAGTGTGCAAACCCTAAATATTAGGGTTTTGTCCAAACAGCTCCTACTCGTTAAGTCGGTCTTCCGACTCGTCGAGTAGGTCACTAAACTCCCGTGTCCAATATCGATTCTACTCGACGAGTTGGGCCTCCAACTCTCCGAGTCCCAGGCCAAAAGTGATAATTACATGAATAAAATGCGTACCAGGAACCAGATGCTACAATAATTGTCATAATTTCAAGATTTGTATTAGTTTATATGATTAGGCTAACTTCTTAAAGATTGATGATATGAATATGTTTTTTATACACTTAAAAAACATATAAATATGTTTTTAAGTGTATAAACACATATAAATACGTTTTAAATATATATAAATATATAAATATGTTTTTAATTTGTACAAATACATGTAAATACATTTGTAATATGTATAAATATATTTTTAAAATGTATAAATACATAATATATATATATATATATATGTATACATATATTTTTAAAAATAAATAAATACGTATACGCATGTTTGTATATCATGACAGACTTATTTATATATTATATAATTTTAATGATATAAATAAGATATGAAAGATATAAATACTTATTTAAATTAAAAACTATTTTTTAAAGATATAATTATGTTTCTAAAAAGGAAAATCATGCTTTTAAATATATAAATACGTTTAAAAAATATATTTATATTTTCATAAAATAGAGTTATGTAATAATAATAATAATAATAATAATAATAATAATAATAATAATAATAATAATACGAATAAAAAGAAAAAGAAAAAGAAAAAGAAAAATAAGAAAATATTCCTTTCGTGGACAAAATTGCAAAAATGGTCCTGTGGTTGGCAAACTTATGTGCTTTTGGTCCAAAACGAAATATTGGTGCACCACTAGTCTAATTTTAGATACCTTGTGTGGTTTTGGTCCCTATGGTTGTATTTTCTTGTGTTTTTGGTTCACATCCCACCTAAAATGACTAATATGCCCCTTAAATAATTATATTTTAATTTCTTTTATTTATTTTCTTATTCTTATAATAAAATGAAACAACAAAAACAAAATAAACCCACCACACACACACATACTCTCTCTCTCTCTCTCTCTCTCTCTCTCTCTCTCTCTCTTTTCTTATTTTTGTATGTCATCCTCCCAACCAAAACCTCCACCACCAAAATAAAATCAAACCCACAACACCACCACCATACCTTCTAGAACACTAGCTTCATCGACATGACTTCATTGGACCACCCTTTTATGATGTAGGACATTTTCCAGTTCCTACATCTCTGAGACCTCCATCTCATATGCCTTCAAGATGGTGCTGCCCCAAACGAACTTAAATACTCAAATCAAATCCGAAAACTAAAGTCCCCATTTCAAAATTCTCCTTTAAAATCGAATCCGAAAATCGTTTCCAATCTTGTTTCAGGAACCAAAATTAAAAGTCGATAGTGGTGTAGAGAACTAGAGGAGAGAGAGCGAGGGGGTTCAATAGATTTTAGAGGAATGAGCTTGCAATGGTAGGGTACGTAGTGGAGTAGAGAATGACTGAGAGTAAGACTTGAATCGATTGCTTGTCGTTGGAGATGGAGTTGGGGAAGCTGTGATGGTCTTCGATTTAATGGCGGTGACAGGCAGAAGGAAGCAGATGTGGACCAAGTTGGAAAAGGTGAAACCAAGCTTGGCGATGATGGCGGTCTAGTGAAGCTTGGTGGAGGTTGTTTGGTTGTGGCAGTCGGCTGGTGGTGGGTAAAGAAGAGGTCTTGACCTAATTTTTTATCATCTTCTACAATCGATCTCCCATCACCGAAGGCTCCATGTTTGGTGGGTGATTCGATTTGGGTTTAAATTCCCCCGCTGTCTCTATTGGCCCAATTCATCACTACTTCCCCAATGTACGAATAGATCGGTGTGGTGTGAAGGTTTCCGGCGGTATCGATGCTGGCGAATGGTGGTGGTAGTGGGGTGGGAAGTCTAGTAACTAGGTCTTTGGAAACGGTGGCGGTGGTTGCGATCTAGGTGAACTCTGGCGAGAATAGTGGCTGATGATGGTTCCAGATATCAGTGATGAGGGTGGAGCCGATGATGAAGGGCTTCTTTAAGATAAGAGTCGGGAATGAGTTATTTGTTTTAAGTTAAAAAGATATAAATTAAATTAGTTTATGTATTTCAATAATTAAAGAAAATAAAAAATATAAATTATAAGGGCATAACTGTCATTTTAAGTGTATAGGGACCAAAAACAATAGAAAGATCCAATTTTGGACTAGTGGTGCACCAACATTTCATTTTGGATCAAAAGCACATAAATTTGCCAACCACATGGACCATTTTTGCAATTTTATCCCTTTCGTGAATTGTTAAGTTTAATACAGCAGAAGTTAAAAGATAAAATCCCTTGTGGCTGTGTGGTGAAGGCGCTGATGTTCTCTTTGTGAGGTGACTGCTTCGATTCTCGTAGGCCTTGTTTCACCCAATGCGCAATCCTTTTTCTAATAAAGGAACAAATATCTGACTTGGCACTCCATGTCAATGCCCAAGTCAACGAAAAATACACATATTTTGCGCCTGCGCCTGTCCAGGTGACCGGAATGTGACCTCGAAACTTGATAAAAGGGCAGAAATGTAAATTTTTACCCAAACTTTCGGCTTTATTGAACCTAAAAGTCATCTAAGGGTAAAGCCGAAGATTTCTTGAAAATTCAAGGGCTCTTACTGCATTAGCCCAAAAGTTAAATATGAAGGTCTAAACATTTAGGAAGTTTGAATTTTTAATGAAAATAAGAAAAATATTGAATTATTGAAATTGAAATGCCCATTCTCTTTTTAATTTAAACAAATAATTTAAATAAATAAACAAATGAAATAATTTGGCTTCAATTTAGGAATTTTGAAATTAAAAGGAAAAGTTGTATTAATGAAATTAATATCCATTTATTATTACATTTATTACAATTATTCTATTTAAATACTATCATTTCTAATAAATGAAGGTTTATGGCCACATGTCTTTTTCTCTTACATTTTGCCAAATGGTTTTTTTTTTCTTTTCATTTTCTTATTTATCACTTGTCATTTTTTTGAGCTTTTTCATTCTTACATTAAATTTCCAGAATTTATGGTTATATATATGGAATGTTCTCATTCTATTCATATAAGGTTATCATTTTATTAATTTGAGAATAGATTCATATAAATGTTACAAACTTATTGATTTGCTTTCTTTTTTCAATTACTTTATAAAATGTTTAATGTTTACATATTGATATTAAACATTTTATTTTTAATAAACCCGTGTAGTACAAATGTCTCGCACCTAGTGTGAAATTTAATAAAATACAAAAACAATAAAATGACATGTGAAAAAATTTAATTTAAAATAATTACAAAATAACATGTGGCAAAATAAATAAAAGTGTTACATGTGGTATAAAAAGATTTTTATTTATCAAGAGTAGAGAAGATTAGAAACATAAAAACCAAGATTTAAGAAAGGTAAATCTATCAAATATTATAGAATTAGTTTACACATGGAAAATCCAAATCTACAAGGTGAAATCCATTTATCTAATGATAACATGGGGGAAAATCGGATTGTCATGTGACTATGGGCCGAGGATAGGCCCAATTTCCAAAAGAGAGGCGACGAAATTCCTTGAGCAACTTGGCTTTCTTGATAGCCGGGTGATAGAGGGTCAAAATATTGCTCAAGAAAAGCGAAGTACACAATCCAAACTCAATATCTTCCAAACTCAACATCTAGGAATTGATTGATTATCATAAGCCCTGTTGTCAGCCCAATTTCCCAACAATTTATCATCACATCAAGCAGATACCATAAAAATATTCACACGAGACACGACACAATATTAGATTCCTAATCAACCTACAGATTTTACCAAGTATTCACAAGCAGCATACAGTTTTTCCAAAGAGTACGTTTTTTTAATTGATAAACAGATTACAGTTTTTTTCTGGGGGACAAAAGGTGTTTCTTTTTCTTTATAATTTCGGCAGATTACGAGAATTAATAATCTCAACGATGTGATATAACCTTTGCCCATAATAACAACCTACTTACAACTTTATACAGTTGTACCACAACTTTTAACCTGAAACCTATCAAAATTGTTTTCACAATACATTAAAGGCTGCAATCAACACACAACAGATAGGATATGATTCTTAACTTTCAAAACCACAATCTTATTGTTAATATTCAGGATATGCTTTGTGTTGATGCATGAAAAATCAGAGCAATAAGCTAAAATTATATTTCCAAAAACAAAGCATTAAGCTCTAATTCAAAAACGAAGTTACAAACAAGACCTACAACGACTTTTTTGCAAAGACAACTTATGTGCAAGCTTTTAGGGTTGTCCATCAAATGATGAATGGAACGAATTTATTATCAATTTTTTGCAGTTAAAATAACTCTTGATAATGGGAAAGTCTCGACCTTGTCATCAAAGGTATCCATGCACATTTTAAGGTGAATATATATAGATTAATATTGTGGATGATAAAAGATCAACCATTTCCAAATTGTAATATAATGCAGAAACATACATACATTTATACATTTATACAAAAATACATACATACATAAATATCGAACAAATCTTAGATATAGCAATGTACCAGAGTGTGTCATATCCATTTCTCAGCATTTCTTTACTCCAAAACTAATTAATTTATTTTTTTATGAGAGAAAATCATGAGAATAGAATGAGATTAGGGTGAACCAGGTTATAACAGTCTTTTCAAGTTATATCTGACCAAAATAAAGAAAAATACACAGAACTTCGGTAATGAGGCACTCAGCTCCATATATAGAAATTGTAAAAGATCAAGATCCTGAAACAATAATGATATCCAAGTATTAACAGAAATCCATGGGACTGATGAGATAAAGTTTAGTTATACCACAAGAGGAAGACCTATCTAGAGACCATATTATGAGTAGAGGTTGCTGAGAACTAAGTAACATGGCTTGAGATAAGAAATACATTCCCTTACGTAGATAACAAATGAATCTCAATTAATAAATATTCATCCCAGTTGTCATCATTGTTGATCAAAAACAGACCAGATGCAGCTGCCTGATAGAAATCAGTGATATTTCTATCCTCCACATATATAATGATATGAAAAGATCTATATGTAACACAAACGTTGTGTTTATGTACAGTACTTGTCTCTTTCTAGTTCTAATCGTTGACTTTGGCTGAAAAATTAATATCATCATTAATAATTTCAAAATTGAAATCATGTAACATGATGAATAAAAAAAACACAGAAAATACCTTTTACAATAGTTCTATTTGAGTTGTCTTTTCCGGGCCCCACCAGAGCTTCTCAAAATCATCCCTGGAGCAGAGTAGAGGAGACTCCTGCTGTGGGTGCCTGCATTATAGGCAGCCGTATGTAGCAGTATGATGATAAGGCTTGTATCTCGGATGTAAACCCACAGGACTCAAGCAACTGTCTCGACCCACTAATAAACAGACCATTCAACAAAAGAATGCTCAGAGGAAGATGACTAATGATTGTACCATCTATATATAACACTTCTAAACATTCCAAACGTTCAAGTTCCTCAGGCAATTTCTTAACTCGAATACAATCGTCAAGAAAGAAATATTTTAGGCGTTTCATCTCACAAATGCTATTCGGGATATCTTGTAAACGTTCACAACCCATTAAATTTAGCTCCTCTAAACATTCTAATTGGCCAATATCCTCTGGTAACTTCTCAAGCAGCAAACCACAAAGTCTAAGATCTTTAAGGCGTTTCAACATGCAAATGCTATCGGGAAGATGTTTAATAATCTTTGCATCTGTCAAATGTAGCTTCTCTAAACATTCTAATTGGCCAAGATCCTCTGGTAACCTCTCAAGCAGCGAACAATTATAAAGGTTGAGATATTTCAGGCGTTTCAACATGCAAATGCTATCCGGAAGATGTTTAATCATCTTTACATCTGTCAAACGTAGCTTCTTTAAACATTCTAATTGGCCAAGATCCTCTGGTAACTTCTCAAGCAGCGAACAATCATAAAGTTTGAGATATTTCAGGTGTTTCAACATGCAAATGCTATCCGGAAGATGTTTAATCTTTGTAGACAACAATATTAGCTCCTCGAGAGATTCTAACTGGTCGATGTCCATGATCGCCTCTAGAAAAATGCCTTTGAGTTCAAGCTCTCTTAAACGTTGTAACCCATAAATGCTTCGTGAAAATGTCTCGAGGTTTGTGCAAGCACACATACCTACAGAAAAAAGCATCTCAAGATTTCTCGTCAATGAGGGTCGATCTTCTGTATAAAAACATCTAAACTGAAACTTTGGCAAGTTACTATCAGGGTGAAGTTGGCATCTTTCTATAGACTCTACAATCAGATGCAACTTGGCTAAAGGACCAACCTCAAGTGATTCATCCACACTACAAGCAGCATAATAGTTTATCTGAAACAGAAAAGAGCTAAACCTCAAACAACCACTTAAGTCTACATGGACAAGCTTTTTTAGACCTCCAATGGGAGTGTGAAGTTCTACCAATTTACGACACTCTTTGAGATCTAACTTTTTGAGATTTGGAGTCATCCCAAGGTCAAAGGTCCTCAAGTTTGAATGACTAATTCGGAGTTCGGCTAGTTTTTGACATTCGTTGACCATGTGAAGTTCTTCCAAACAACAAGACCTTTCAAGATATAACTTCTCGAGATTCGGAGTCAGCCCAATCTCAAGGGTCCTCAATTTTGAATTAGTGAGTAGTAAGCGTTTTAGATTTAGACATCTTTCAGGTAAGTGAAGTTTTTCCAAATATTTGCATTCAAAAAGACCCAACTCTTCAAGATTTGGAGCCAGCCCAATGTCAAGCGTACTCAACAATGAACTACTGAGGTCAAGGAATCTGAGCTTGTTGAGAGCCTAAATAAGCAAAAAGCAAAATGAATATTGGTGTAATAACAAAAACAATGTAAGTATAACACTATATGAATCATGCAAAATAATCAATCAACCATAAGTTTACCTTTCTTTCTCCCCCTTCCCAAAGTTGTACAATTCTGCTGCCATCCATCTTAAGTGCAGCAATATTATTTGCTTGAAATGTTGTGCGTAAAGACCTAAAAGGGTAATTGGTCCAATCTAAACATCGTAAAGCATTTGGGAAGTCTGGAACAACTGTACTAAACTCCAAATCACTGGAACAATATCCGCGAATAGAAAGAAATCTAAGCTCCTTCATCTTTCTCAAACCTTTTATAAAAATATGTGGATTAAATCTGATAGTGTGGAATTGTATACATCTTGTTGCTTCAGTACCCTGCAATCCAAAAGAAGTCACCAAGAAACTTGTGTCATAATAACTATAAATGTGTTAGCTTTTCCCAACATACAAGTAAACTTGATCCTTACCAAATCATTAGCCAATATCTCTTCAATTTCATCTTCAATCCACAATCGGCTATGTCTCTGAGGCTTATCGGGGTGCCTGCGACGAACAATATTCCTGCCCATTTCTACAATATGGTCATGCATGCCTATGTGATCATCAAAGTTCTTATAAATAGTTATAAGAGATTTTTGCTGAAGAACTTTTAAGCCATTTCTAGCACGAAATCCACAGCTTTCAAGCGCTTTGATTGCTTTATCTTTCTGCCAACCTTTCATGATGCATGCAACATCTAGGAATATTTCCTTGTAATCCTCCTCTAGACATGTATAACTTAATTCCAATTTTTTTAAAGTTTCTGTTTCGGGGATCGTTTTTAGTCTTTCTATGGCATCTATCCATTCAAGCTCATCTTTTCCGCAAAGAAACGAACCCAAAACCCTAATCGTCAAGGGAAGACCAGCCGCGTAACGTACAACTTTTCTTGATAGCTCTTCATACCCTTGAACTGGAATATCTCTCCCAAACGCATGCCTACTAAAGAGGCAAATTGCTTCCTTATCGGATAGCAGATTGACATCATGAATGAACTTCACTCCATGTGCTATGAGCACTTGCTCATCTCTTGTTGTAATGATAATTCTACTCCCAGGCTTAAACCAGTTAGGCTCACCTGCTAAAGCCTCAAGTTGGTCTATGTGATCCACATCATCTAGAACAACAAGAACCTTTGTGTGAGGCAGTCTCCTCTTCATCATGTCTTTCCCGTCATAAACACTACTTACACGTATGTCTTCATTTAATACATCTGAAAGGATTTGCTTTTGCAACGACTTTAAACCGAACAAAGAAGCATTTTCCCTGACATTTTCTGCGAAGCTTTTACCTTCGAACTGAAGGGATATTCTATCAAAAAGAGCTCTTGCTAAAGTTGTCTTTCCACCACCTCCCATCCCCTTGATCCCGATCATGTGGACATTATCACAGCCAATTCCTAAAGATGGTACAAGATTTTTGATCCGGGTCTCCATTCCTACCAACTTTCCATCAATGTTGAGACTGATTGAACGTAACTCTAGTGAAATCTCTTCAACTATTCTTTGGATAACTTTAGCTTCATGCCTGTATTTTAAATAAAATTCAATTAGCTTACTCAAAATTCCATATGACCAGTCACTTTCAGATCTATAACATACAACCCCACATGAAAAATAACATAGTTACATAATCATATTCCATGGTTATTCTTTGGACAAGACTTAAAACTTGAATTAAAATTTGACAATTTAAGATGCCATGTACGAGATTTTATATCCAGGTTATATGCTAGATCAAAAAGATTCAAACAATAATATTGCAGGGAATGATCAAAGAATTAATTACCCATCAGCAGTCTTCTTCAACTCCCATCCAGAGAGATCCGCTGCTTCTTTCAGAGCCACCTTCCATGTCTCAGCAGCCTCTTCCATTTCGTACTTGGCAAATGCTTCTCCAACTGCCCCACTTTGTTTTCTGACTTCAGAGGGTTCCACATCATAGAAGACAGGGTAAGCAGTGTGCTCTGTTGTCGTCCTGTGGCACTCCATTATCTTCACAAGCTCATCCAAGCACCAAGATGAAGAGGCATAGTTCTTTGAGAAAACAATGATGTAGAATTTTGAGTCTTCAATAGATCCGATGAGCTCATCACTGATCTTTTTCCCTTTTTTGATTTTCTCATCGTCCTTGTAAATATGAATGCTTTTCTGCTGGAGAGCATGATAAAGATGATCAACAAAGTTTGTACGAGTATCTTCGCCCCTGAAACTCAAAAATACATCATACTTAAAGCTCTTATGAACGGATGAAGTTAAAGAAGACGCCATTGAAATGAAGGATCGATCGATCGTATAAAATCAAATCTTTGTTGGGCAAAAGTTTATGAGAAACGATTACGAAGAAATCGGGATGATCATCATCAGAGTGCAGATTAAGAAGATAAAAAAGATAATGTGAGATGGTGATGGGTGTGGCTGGAAAACTTTTGAAATTCGGTGGAGAAAGCTAAACCACTTGTTTAGTCAAGGAACTGTAATTTTACTTGTCTGAACAATTTAAGGCATAACAGTTAGTTAAAGATATTTACCATATTTACCATTTTAGGGTTCTTAAGAATGAGGCGATTTAATTATTTTGATAAAATTACAACTATTGGAATCCATGATAACAGTAAATTGTGGATTTTATTTGTTTATTTTCCTAGACGGGAATTCTCACGCCGGGTTGGATGTGCGATTTCAAAGAGATGATTACCGTTGGTAGACGAAGGCTAAGGATGGAGAGTTTCCTCACTTTTTATGGGTCATACCATCATTTCCCTCATTTTCTTTTCCATCACCTAAACTTAAGGAATGGATGGAAGTTTCCTCATTATTTTGTTTTTTTTATTTTTTTAAATAAAATTAATTTTTTTTTGATTTATAATTTTTAAATTAATAATAAACTATTAACCAAAATATATACCTTATGTATATTCCAGATCTTATATTTACTGTGTAATTAATGTAGATTACTTCTTCCTTATTTAGCCTATCTTTTCCCCAATTTCCTCCTGTAATCACTCTGTACAATGGGTATTTAATCCCCTCCTTTATCAATGAAAAGCATCGATTCTTTTGTAATTATATGGTATCAGAGCCAAGTGCTCCTTACCTCAAAATCTCTCCCTACTGTCTCAGCTACTGCGGGACATCTTTACTTTGTTTCTGATCATCCTCTCTATTCACGATGTCAGACAAACAAGACCCAACTCCTGTCAAAGCTCTCCATCCCGTCTACACGGTCACAAGCATACAGAACAAGATCCGCACCCTTGATGGTACCAAGGTATCATACTCTTCATGGGTTCGCTTGTTCAAACTTCATGCTAGAGGTTACAGAGTCCTTGCCCATATCGATGGTTCCGACCCTCCATCCAAGACTGACCCGACCTATGAAAACTGGTCAGAGATTGATGCCATCGTCCTCCAATGGATTTATGGAACGATTTCAGACGATCTCCTTGCGCGGGTGCTTGAACCGGACTCCACATCATATGAAGCTTGGTTCAAAATTCAAAATATCTTCCTCAACAACAAAGGATCTCGTGCTGCTGCTCTTGAACACGAGTTCTCAAACCTTACCCTTCGAGCAATGTCGTCCCTTGAAGCTTATTGCCAACGTCTCAAAGATCTGGCAAGTCAACTGAATGACGTCGATTGCCCTGTCAACGAGAAACGTCTGGTTCTTCAACTTATTCGCGGGTTGCCATCCGAATTTGACACAGTCGGCGCCTACATCAATCAGACCCTACCTCCATGGGATACCGCGTGCTCCATGCTTCAACTTGAAACTCAGCGACAACGTGCTCAAGATTCGCACTCATCCACAGAGATCGTTGCTGCTATTGAACACAACCCACCAGCAAACTCTAATTTCCGACGTGGCGAATCTGGAAACAGAGGCCGCCCTAACCAGCAGCGGAACACAAATCGTCGAGAGCCTGCATCTGCATCTCCTTCTCGACCTGGTTATACGTCCTCTGGTCGGCCAACACAAACCCAGTCAAATAATCGCAGAAGCCCTATGTCCAATAAAACATACCCTACATGGGCCGGATACCCACCACCATTCTGGGCCCACCCATATTGGGCTTCACCACCACCTTGTCCATATCCTACTCAAGCTGGATGGGCTTCTCCCTGGCCTACCTCTTCTTCCCAGCAGCAACCACGACAACCACCAGCTGAAGCCAATCTTACGGAGGTAAACCCACTTGAACCTTCTGAACTCGGGGCAGCTTTTTCCGCTATGACTCTGGACCAAGATCATGCTGATTGGTACATGGACACTGGATCTACATCTCATCTCACAGCCAACGAAGGTAAAATCTCGATCCATAGTTTGTCTTCTATTAAATCTGTGTTTGTTGCAAATGGCAATCAAGTACCAGTTCTTGGATCAGGTCATACAACATTACCCCATCCATCCAAACCTATTCATCTAAAAGATGTACTCCACACACCTCATACCGTTAAAGATCTTATATCTGTTCGTAAATTTTGTCGTGATAATTCATTTTCTGTTGAATTTGACTCCTTTGGTTTTTCTATAAAGGATTACAAGACCAAGAAGCACCTCTCTAGACACGACAGTTCTGGCGATCTCTACCCCTTCACCAAACAAGCCAATGCTCCAGCTTCATCTTTTTATGTTTCTTCTAGTTTGCCTCTTTAGCATTTTAGACTCGGTCATCCGGGTCATCATGTAATAGATTTTCTTAGTCAAAATAAAAATATTTCTTGCAATAAAAATGATCGTTTATCAGTTTGTCATTCTTGCCAACTTGCTAAACACAAACGTCTACCATTCAAAAACTCCACATCCTTCACTCTCAAACCATTTGATCTAGTTCACGCCGACCTTTGGACCTCACCTATCCACAGCAAAACTAATTTTAAATACTACCTCATCATTATTGACGATTTCAGCCATTTTACATGGGTGTTTCCCTTAAAATACAAATCAGAAACTTTTCCCAAAATCACAGCCTTCTACAAATATATCCACACTCAATTCAATATCACCCTCAAAACTTTCCAATGTGACAAGGGCGGTGAATTCGACAATCACCACTTCCATAATTTTGCTTCCACCACCGGTCTTCACATTCGCTTCTCGTGCCCACACACCTCTCAACAAAATGGCACAGCCGAACGAATGATCCGTCGCATAAACGAAATCATGTTGTCCTTACTTACCCATGCTTTTTTACCACCTTCCTTTTGGGTCGAGGCCCTACATACCGCTACCTACTTGCACAACATCCTTCCTACTCCATTACTTGACAACCGAACCCCTACCTCCGTCCTCTACCTCAAACATCCAACTTACGACCACCTACGAATCTTTGGTTGTGCCTGCTTTCCCAACCTAACCGCCACCCGCCAACACAAACTAGCACCTCGGTCTACACCTTGCCTTTTTCTAGGTTACCCAGCCCAATACCGAGGATATAGATGCCTCGACATGTCCACCGGTAAAGTCATTCTCTCCCGACATGTAACCTTCGATGAAACTTCTTTTCCTTATGCATCTCACACACCAAACCCACCACACAATTACTCTTTCCTTGAAACAGAACCCTCTCCTCTCCTCTTCCACCCTCCAATAACATCAATATCCACTCCCACTCAACCACCTTCGAACCACAACCCCCCTTCCCCCACTCATTCCGCTCCCACCGAAACCATTTCTTCCCCTCCCTCTCCCAACCAAACCCCCGACACTACGTCCCACCCTACCCCTCCTCCACCCTCATACTACCCACTTACTTACTCCCGGCGAAGCCAACCACCCCCTCTTACATCATGTCACCCCATGACCACCCGCTCCAAAGTTGGGATCACCAAACCAAACCCACCACTCAACCTTCACAGCAACACCAACACCTCCACCATTTCACCTCTTCCCAAATCCCACAAACATGCCCTATCTGATCCAAACTGGTACTCCGCCATGACCGATGAACATCGAGCTCTAATAGATAACAACATATGGGAACTTGTACCTCGTCCCCCCGAGGCTCATGTCATACGTTGTATGTGGATATACCGGCACAAATTTCATGCAAACGGAACTCTTGCACGATATAAAGCACGCTTAGTGATTAATGGAAAATGCCAACAAGTCGGAGTAGACTGCGATGAAACATTTAGTCCCATAGTGAAACCTACCACAATCCGCACTGTTCTTAGTCTTGCCGTTTCCCGATCATGGCCTATACACCAACTAGATGTAAAGAATGCTTTCTTACATGGGAATCTCAACGAGACCGTGTATATGTTCCAACCCCCTGGTTTCACGGACCCGCAACACCCAACACATGTTTGTCGGTTACGCAAATCTTTGTACGGGCTTAAACAAGCTCCGCGAGCTTGGTATCATCGTTTTGCAACATTCATTCACACATGCGGTTTTAAAAGCACCAAAAGTGATACCTCTCTTTTTGTCTTCCAACAAGGCACAAAAATGGCATATCTTCTTCTTTATGTGGATGACATCGTCTTAACCGCTTCCGACGACGCAACTCTTCGCCAATTCATCACTCTATTATCCAAAGAGTTTGCTATGTCGGACCTTGGGCCACTTCATCACTTCCTCGGCATCCAAGTGAAACATCAAAATGGAGGATTATTTCTTACACAAGAACAATATGTGGATGATATTCTTCACCGGGCGAACATGCAACAATGTAAACCTTGTGCCACTCCAGTCGACACTAACTCTAAACTCAGCGCAACCGCCGGCGACCTAATGCAAGACACAACTCTATATCGCAGCCTCGCTGGAGCATTACAATACTTAACCTTCACTCGCCCCGACATTGCGTATGCTGTCCAACAAGTATGCCTTTTTATGCATGCCCCTCGCGATCCACATTTTAACTTTCTAAAACGTATTCTACGATACCTCCAAGGCACCCGTCATCATGGACTTCATATTTCTCCTTCCAAATCTACAAAACTCACTGCCTACTCCGACGCAGATTGGGGGGGTGTCCCGACTCTAGACGGTCCACATCCGGCTACTGTGTATTTCTCGGTGATAATCTCGTTTCATGTTCGTCCAAACGACAACCAACTATCTCCCGGTCCAGTGCCGAAGCCGAGTACAAAGGCGTCGCCAACGCCGCAGCTGAAACTACATGGCTACGCAACTTACTCCTCGAGCTACATCTTCCGCTTCGCCAGGCGACGATTATATATTGTGACAACATTTCAGCTGTATATCTTACTCAAAACCCGGTTCAGCACCAACGCACGAAGCATATTGAGATCGACATCCATTTCGTTCGCGAAAAAGTTCGCATGGGTTCCCTTCGCGTTCTTCATGTCCCTGCTGATTACCAATACACATATATATTTACCAAGGGATTACCCC